CACACATCCTGTTCACTCTTGAGAGCTGGGTCTGGAAGTCCAGGACTCTCCACGTGTAAATAAAGGGTGACTTGGTGATGGGATACCAGCTTGCGTGGAGTTATTTCAGATGCATGTGGTGGGAGCCAGGCTAGGTCATCACTGGAGCGTGTGATTCCTGTCCCAGCTCCTTGCTGGAAGGTTCACAAATGACATGTACAGACTAGTAATAGATTGCCAGGCTGAGAGTATCATTCAGTTTAGTCCAGGGACAAACTGAAACAACACACTTGTGGAGGAACTGTAGGGAAGGTCAATAGGTTCTTTTAGGTGGCTCATGTAACCCCCTCCAGAGGGTATCACTGAGCCTAATGCTGGCATATCTGCAGATATCTGTGAATTGTTGAAGCAATGGTGCTTAATAGGTACTTTATCAAAATACGTAGAATATCTTTAAATGATGAGGATTTTATAAAGTAAAGAATTAAGATTCCTACAGATTAATGAGGTAAGTAGTTAGAACTTCAAACTAATCCAGAGATTATATTTGAAATTTACTGCAGAAACATTAACAGATGTACAAGAAACCACTTGACACAGTGTTGAATAGTTGGAACAACTAATCAAGTTGACAATAGGGGCCAAGAGCATTGAAATACTCAAAATACAGCTTGACATTCTTGATGTGGGATTTTTTTTTTAAGGTTTTTTAAAAAAGGGTTGAGCCTCATTGAACTAAACGACCGTTTCTTGTACAGGTGAGCGAAACCGTTCAACCAGCTCATTATTGTTTATATGTCCAGGATCCCACAATCAGATAATTCAACTGCCGCAGAAATAATTCAAGGATTTTTGACACCTGAATACTACCTTGAGACCATTCCAGCTTATCACCATTTATGTGAAAAAGTGTTTTTCAACATTCACCCTGCCTTTTACTTTGTAGCTCAATCTTCTGTACCTAGAATATTAATCAATTCTATTCAACATTGCATATTAGCTGCTCTTACTGAGGCCACTTCTCATTCATTTATTTAAAAATGAAGGTTTCAGGGTTTTCCAACATTTCCCTGAAGCCAAGTCATCTAATTATTGCAGTCATTTGCAACACTTTTTGTTTTTAAAAATTTATACACTTGACCATTTCCTTTTAGTTTCAGTGCCCAGAACTGAATGAACATGTCAGATTCAGTGTAACTGCCTCAGACATTTGGCAGTTAAGCTGAACACTGTGTTTGCTTTGTTGATTGCTGCTCCATAAGCACTGGATTTAGTTGGATTTGATTTCCTACCACATCAAGATCTCTTTCCTCTATTCTGTCCTATAGCACTCATTGAGTACGTATGCTTTCTCCAAAGTGTAACATGTTCTGCATTGAATTTCAACCACAGTGTTTGTGCCTGCTGGTAAAGTTTTCTATACTTTTGTCTCTCATCAGACTCTGTTGCTTCTAACTTGAGTCTGTTTCATGAACTAATACCTGATTATTTTCCTTCAAACCAATTTGTTATCTAGTATCTCATTCACCTGCGTGCTCCTTTTATGTTAAAACATCATAGAGGTAAAATTGGTCAATTCCAGCAGATTGAAAAAAGCTCATGGTGAATTGGCATTTGACTCATTTTTCATTGCTACCAATCCTTGTTAAATTCAAAGTTCACTGGGAGATATTTGTACTTTTTTTTTGGATGCTTGTTTCCCAGTCTCACTACACTTTCAGTTAGTTTGAAATTGTAATTTTTGGCAATATTTCCCAGGTCAGTTGAAAAGTATAAGATTTTCATCGTGAAAAATCAACTGAGAGTCCATTTTGTGCTGCTGGCATTGACTAATTTTAACCCTAAAAATCAAAGCATCGAGGGTATGATGTTCCTTCTAGACTTCTGAACCCTATCATCATGCTCAGATACAGGTCAAAAGCCTCCATTGTATGGTGAATATGAACAGCTATATATCAACAGGGGAATGATTTTAAGTAATAGGTTTCATGACTATAGAATATGCACTATCGATTAAAAAGAAGACAGCTGCTAATTTTTGGATAATTAATTGAGGTTATACACTAATTAAAATGGAAGAAAAATTTATTGGAATAAATATGAAAATTAATTGACCACATAAGGGCCTTCATTGAGACAAGGGATGGCAGCTGGTTTGAGAAGGCAGCTTACCATCGCTTTCCCAAGTATAACTAGTGACAGGCAATAAAATCTGACCCACCATTGATGCCCATATCCAGTGAGTGAAGAAAAAGGGGAAAAAATATCACGATCCCCATAGCTAACCACATTCCAGCAGGAGATGCGTGACCGTCTGTATGCCCCTCCACCTGCAGCCACTTCGAGGACAGCATGCAGTGGTGCACAGAATCTGGGTGTACATTAAGGATGTCACAGGTAGTGTGCTTCTCACCACTAGCCAAGCAATGTCTTGATGCTTGTTGGAAAGTTCTGGTGATGAGGTATTCTGCCAAACGACTTTGACAGTCTGCTCAGGGAACGACAAGACAGGATCCACCCTCTCCTTTTCCTGCAGGATCTCAAGGGCACTACATGCTGACCACTTCCTGGTGGACTTGTGGTCAAAGGTGTTTTTCTTTGAAAATTTTTCCATGAAGAAAAGTGATGTGGAATGGTCCAACTACTTGGAGCATTCTGCGGCAAAGAGGCCAGACCCATCCTTTGCAATACCAGGGACAAGTAGAACCTCAGTACGTAGTGACGCTCAGTGTTTGCATACCGAGGGTCTACGCATGGCTTGATGCAGCTTCACATAAAGGTGGCGATCAGGAAGAGGGGGGCGTTGGGTACATTCTTCACCCACCTTTCCAGAGTTTTGTACATAGTGTCCTTGTGGACATAGTCCATCCTAGACCTTCAGATGACGTGGCTGATGGCTCGGATGACTGTGTTCTGGGAATGGACCAGACCTGTGCCACATACAACAACAGAGTTTGGATCCTCACCTAACCCATCCCTTTCACTGATGGTGGATACTTGCTTCAGGGTCTTCACCTCAACAGTTTCTCCTAGTGATAATGACTGTCTGTCTCACCTTGCCTTCTCCTGTCCAGAAATATAATTAGTCAAGCAAAGAGAGACAAAATGCTGGGGCCAACTGGATAAATTCTTCAATCCTGAAGGAGATGAAAAGTGAAATTGTGAAGACCCCAAAATATTTTGGTGAAATTTTACCTTGTTGAGGAAATGAAATTGAAAGTAGCAGATAGGGTATAATGGATGACCAGTGTCCCATTTTCTGTTCCACTGATGTCCCTACCCCTACCAATGTTAAGTTTCACTACAATCTTTCAAGACTGTCTTGAATGTGATGTGTGACAGAGGACAAGAGAAGCCGTATGTAGCACCCATGTTTTTCAAAATGGAAATAGAGCTGAAGCAAGTAATTGCAGCAGTTTAACATCTATATAAGGAAAAGTTTTAAGCATATTTGATTTAGAATGAAAGTAACACATATCAAGATAAAGAAAAATTGAAAGTAACCAGCACGGGTTACAATGGAGTAATTGCGCTTGGCAAACCTCCTAGATTTATTTTTGATGAAGTCACAGAAGACATAGGATTTGGAAAATTGGATTTTTTGTACATTAGAAAGCCATAGATTTTAAGAAACAGGATAAACATTTTTTTATGACAAAGTGGGGTAGGTTAAATAGAAACAGTCTATTTCTTATGTTCTTGAGGGCTCAAGAACGTGAGGCCAGAGTAATAAGAAATTTAGGTCAGTGAGCAGGGGAAATCTCTTTACATCTAGAGTATAGTGTCACACATATACCTGCAGCTTTGTTGGTTGTGAGAAGAAGACTTGAATTTATGCAGTGCTTTTTATGACCAAGAAATGACTCGGCCTGTAAAACATGCCATGATGTACAGTTTGATGTGTAGTGATATACTATAGGAAAAGCAGCAACGCCAATCACTACCACCCCCCCCCACCCCACCCACCCTCCACCATGAAAGCAATATGATAATTACCAGATAATTGTGTTTTTTTGTGTCATGATTGAGGGATAGATTTTCCCCAGTATACTGGGATAACTCACCTGTTCTTCTTCAACATAGGCAACTGCAAAAGATTCCATGCTATCATGCAGAAGAGTCCTCAGTTTAATATCTCATCCAAAAGACTTCATGTCTCGTAGTGTAATGCTCACTCAGTGTTGCATTGGAGTGCCGGGCTTAAAAGTGGTTAAGCGCTGGAGTGGGAATTGTACCCAGGACTTTGTGATTCAGAAGTGAGGGGACGACCAACTGAGCCATGATTGACACAATACAGGTCAAAAAAGGGGGAACTTTGAAGATTACTTTTGATTATGGGATGAAAGGCAAATGAGAATAGGTAAGGCAGTTGTCCTTAAGATGAACATAAATATGGTACAACGTATTGGAATTTCTATGTATTTCTATAATTGTCAACATGTTAGAGATGAAGTTATGCAGCAGGTGCCCTGAAACCTTAGGGCCCAACACAGCGAGATGTGAAATTCACTTTTGATTGCTGAGTGAAATGGCCAATAGTATAGAAAATCGTCAGTCTATTTTATATTCCACCCAATATTCTCTTCTTGTGGCTGTTTTGATTGCTTGGTTTACATTGTTTTGTTGTGTTTGCATTCAACTGGGAGTATTTCAGAGTATGTCTGGCAGATCTTTTACTTAGTTTATATGTTTTTAGCAGTGCAGTCAGATTACATTTAACTTAACTAGGGAAAGGAGTGGGGAGGAAATGAGAACTATTTGTCACAGCAAGGTGTTTATGTATTTAATGCACTGCCTTAAATAGTAGAAATAGATTTAATAATAACCTTTAAAAGACAATTGTACCTGTGCCTGATAAGAGAGAAATTGCTGGGCCGTGGGAGAGGTGAATCTGACTACTTAGTTCTTACATGCATGGTAGTATAAATGGTCTGTTCCTGCATTGAGTGATTTCTGTAGTTTTGTTTTACTGTTGGTACTATGATATTTTTTTCTCTTGAACATATCTGTCTTTAAATCAGGAGCCCAAGACCTGGATCGCATTCGCTTATCCACTTATAGGACAGCGTGTAAACTCCGTTTTGTACAGAAAAAGTGTAACTGTAAGTATGCTTTGTTCCATAGGAAAATAAGTGTGTAGTATTGTTTGTTTGGGTCACTCTGTAACCATTTATATTAGCCGAGATGTAGGTAAACAACTCTGGTTCATCTGCATTGAGATAATTATTTAAAATTTCTTTTTTACTGCTGTTTGATATCTGCTCCCGATCCAGACAAGATCAAAACCTTTGCATTCAGTGGTTGGAGAGCAAACCCACACATTCAGTAATTCGCCAACTCAATGTAACACTCTGCTAATATCTAAGATTTGTATGGACCCTGAACATTGTGAAACATTGGGATGTTTACTGAAGAGGAATTAATGCAAAGCAATTTAAGGAAATGTCAAAAAAAAAACTGAAGATAGTCAAGGAGAGAGATTTTAGTGAAACATTAGAAAGTGAGGCAACTGGTGAGGCTGATATGTTTAAATGTAGTCTCCCACAATATATCTGAAGACATTAGCCTGGATTTGTAGCCAGTAGTGAAGCAAGTAGTCCTACCCTTGACCTTGAAGAAAATGTCCCATAAGGAACTTCAATCACTCCAGTAGAAATTTCTCCTTTCTCCACTGCAGTTTAAAAAAATGTGCTGCCAAATTCAAGGGGGTGTCAGCATACATCAATAGTCATTTCAGCAAATGGCAACCAATCAGATTGAAACATTCACATACTGTGAATCAACAAGTTAAAAGCAATGAAATGCTTCACGTGCAATTTCTAATCTTGATACAATTATATAACCATATGAAGATAGATCTAAAATAGAAAGACTTTTTTCGAAAAAAGTCTAATGTTTTCATTTTGGGCAAATTTGACATTTCACAGATGCAATAACTTTTCAGGATGAGTAAGGATGTTTTACAATAATTATGAAGTTAGTACACTGTAAAAATCGAGTTATACCTCATTCAACAAGGTGTAACTTTGCTCTATGGTTGTACAGTGAGACTAACAACATTCGAATGGAAGTTCTCATCATCAATTAGTGATCACATGGGAAACTGCAGTCTTTGGAAATCTCTGCAGCATATCCTGTGGAGGAGCATCGACTCATTAACAGCAACATCTGGATTTCCTAGATGTCTAAACTGTTAACTTGTCAGTTTCAAGGAGCATTGAGGGGGAATGCTGTCAGTTTCACTGTCATTACTACAGCAGAATACAGGCCCATAGGTTGACAAAGACAATAGGGAGAACTGATTTACAAGAAGAGAAGGTGTAGAACTAGGAGTGATTGCAGAAGCTGGGCGAGTTAAATCTGTGGGGAGCTTTGAAAAGACTTTGAACTTAAGACATTAAATAAAATCCTCCACAAATGCAAACTTGTGAGAAGACAAGTGAAAATATCTTTTAAGTTAATTAAAGGCAGATTATGACTAATGCCGAGAAATTCTTCACACAAGTTAGAGATTAACGTATAGTACAGGCTTTCAAAATTGTTCAAGGTGAATATTTTAAGAAATAATTGGATACTGAGCTATGCAAAGAAAAATCTCTCCCAATGAATGAATTGTGGTTGGTGAAATAACCTTCCTTAACTTATAAATATTTTGTGATCTTGTATCAATAGACAACGTGCTAATAGAGGTTAGCAGTGGTAGGTGAATGGGACTTAGTGGGAGAATGCAGGCAGATGAATTTTGGCTCATTTGAAATGTGTATAGGGTCATGTGATTTGAAGGAAATTGATGATATTGCAGTGCTGAAGATTTAAGGATTTGTGGATGGATGTCATTTATTTGAGTCTTGGGGCTGAATAGAATCCCAAAGCTGTGCAAAATGGAGTTTTGGCAAAAACCAAACAATGAATTGTTACCAGTGTCAAACTGGTAGAATCTCTGGTGCATATATAATTCAATATCAAATGATACTTAATGTCAGCCAAGCAGTACAGTAGTGGTCTTGGAGCCAAGTCTAACAGTAGAACGGTAGATGTCTTCAGGATGTTTAGAAGACCCAATGCCCAGAATGTCAAAAGCTGCATGTGTGTAAAGAATAGGAGCGGGCGAAGAATAGAAATTTTCAAGGTTCGAATAAAATATAGAAGCAAGTAGTGAAGCTTTTTTACCTTGTTGGAGGATGTCGAGATTTCAGGAGCAATACATCATGGAGATGAGCTGAACAAAGCAAAATGGAACTGTGGTATACTCCCGACTTGATCATAAACAGGGAGGGAACATGAGCTATTGCAGATTATTTTGACATAGATTGGAGTGAAACTGACTGCAGGTAGTGGCACAGGAGTAAAGCATTTTGGACACCACAAATGTTAGGGAGTGCAAGAATGGATAATCCATGTAATCATGTCACAAATAAAGCAATTGGCGACTTAAATTAGGTCAGTTATGCTTTAAGCAGAGTGGAAACTGCCCATAATGGAAGGGAAGTTAGAATGATGTGAGTTCTGGATACAGGTAAGAGGAGCTCTGTGAACAGTCAAGAATGCAGGACAATCTAGGCCATCTGGATATGGTGATGGTCTAGTGACATTATTGTTGGACTGTTAATCGAGAGACCCAGGGAATGTTCTGGGGACCTGAGTTTGACTCCCAACCTGGCAGATGGTAAAATTTGAATTCAGTTTTTTAAAAATCTGGAATTAAGCATCTGATGTTGACCATGAATCCACTGTTAATTGTTGGAAAACCCATCTGGTTCACTAATGTTCTTTAGGGAAAGAAACTGCCATCCTTGTGGTCTGGACTATATGTGACTCCAGACTCTCAGCAATGTGATTGAGTCTTAACTGCTCTCTGGGATGGGAGAGAAATGCTGGCCTAGCTAGCAATGCCCTCATCGCATGAATGAATAAATAAAAAAAGGCACCTAGGTTCAGATGCTTTTATGAAACTTACTCATTTATTTCTTTTTTTGACTTCTTTAGTGCACTTGGTAGATGTTTGGAATATTATAGAGGCATTCAGAGAAAATGGGCTAAATACAATGGATCCGAATGCTGATCTCAGTGTTGCTCGCTTGGAAGCTATCATCTCCACAATACTTTACCAGCTGAACAAACGCTTGCCAACCACTCATCAAATAAATGTTGAACAGTCTATTAGCTTATTGCTGAACTTTCTGCTTGCTGCTTATGATGGGTAAGTTATACAGCAGTTTCTCTCTGCATATTCATTTTCATTTTTGAACTTTAATTGGAGCTTCCAAACCTGATTGTAATTGTCACAGGAATGCAAGGTTCTGACCCTAACTAGTTTCTTCATCTTGTTCCAGTCTGCTGCTGTTTATTTGTGGCATTCCAAGTGAAGAAAATTTTGATATGACAAAATAAAAACAGAAAATGGAGGGAATACTCAGCAGGTCAGGTTGCATCTGTGAAGAGAGAAACAGTTAATTGGCAGACGACCTTAGATCAAAATTGGGCAAATTTAAAATGAAATGGGATTGAAGCAAGTGAAAAGAGGAAAAGTGAGAAAAGGGGGGGCCTGGGGAAAGGCACAGTCTGTGATATGATGCAGAATCGGAAAGAGTAAATGACAAGAGAGTTGGTTGTGTGCAGCCAGAGGTAGTGGGAATGGGCAAGTTTTTTAAAAAAGTGAAAGCTATATGTAGGAATGGTGTGAATAGCAGAAAGATGAACAGTTGTTGCCCAAGAGCAAGAACAAAGGGGGAGAAAAGCAGCATTGCAAAAGAAAATAAAACCTAAGGCAGAATCTTCCAGTCCCTGAAAAGGTGAGAATAATGTTACCCAGACAAACTTAATTGGGTGAGAGGCAAAAAATCAAGTTCTCACTGATTGGATAAACTCTAGTGATTAAATTCTCTGACCTTAAAAAGTGGATTCACCTTTGGATTGCAGGGGTCAGGAAACCTATGTGCATTCATTTCCATTTCATTAAAAGCTCAATTCACTAGTATTAAATATTTGCTCCCAGTTAACGTCTATCCAATGAAGAAATTTATCCCTTTTTTTATTACATATTTATTACAGGCAGATCTTCACTTCTGCCTGAACTTTGTGGTGTGCACATGCTGCTTTGCCCTTATAGTGATACACCTGTAAATGATAAAAACCAAAAGAACTATAGATGGAAATCAGAAGCAAAAACAGAAATTGCTGAAAAAGCTCAGCAGTTCTCGCAGCATCTGTGGAGAGAAATCAGAATTAACGTTTCGGGTCCAGTGACCCTTCCTCAGAATACCTTTAAATGATGGCTGCATTGAGTTGTAGGATAAGGTCTCCGTGTTCAATCCACGTTTATCAGGGGAGGGGGCATGCCAGTCTATGCAGGGTAAAGTGTAAGCTTTTAAGAGTAGGATAGTCAGAAAAAGATGTGGCATTGTCCATCCAGGGGTGGGGCACTCTCTGTCCAGTAGTCGAAGTTAACTTTGAGAAATGTCTGTCCTGTCCTGGGGCTTTTGGGGTGATGATTGGAAAAGGAAAGTCACAGGGGATTGAGTGACCAGGGCATAGTCCTTACTGCAGGAAGCTCGTGGATGGAGCTGTGATTTATAGTCAAGGGTTGCAGAGGGTATGTTGACAGTCACGGCTGTAGGTTGGATATGGTAGCGTAGAAATTAAAATATAACAGGTGGGGGAATGGTCTCATGGTGGAATCATGGAAGATGATGGTTCCAGTGATCTCAAGAATAGAAAGATCAAGAGAACCTCCAAGACCTGGATGATTAGGGGCCTGGATCAAAGCCAAAAGCTAACATAAATATGAATGGGATTGATAGAAACTGGGGTAGGTTCCAGATTGACAGAAAACAGGGACTGTGATGCAATTTGGAGGTAAAGAATGGAGAGTGGTAGGGAAGGGATCAGACATACTTGTTTTAACACCATACGTGAATGGCTCCACCTTGAAATTTGTCCCAATTTTTCCCAGCTTCCAGAGACATCACATCCTGAGTTCCATATCAACAATGAGTATTACCCAGGATCTGAATCCATAGGTGTCAGTGCTGTTTTCTCCAGTCACATAGAGACAATGCATATGACATTTTGCTCAAAATGTTTTGTAAATACATTGTTTCACAGAGCTGCTGGGGACCTCTGAAATATCTCAGTCAGCTGCTGATTAGTGTATAAGAGAAGTGAATGATGCTTCATTCACTATGGTGCATGAGTTTGAGAGGTTTCTTTTGAATGCAGGGAGCCAGACAGCCAACACAGTGAGGTTTGGTGCTTTTAGGAGGTTTCTCACAGGAGCAAGCTTTTACTGATTGCACCCACTTCACCCTCGAAATGCCTTAACAACAGTGAGCTCTGTGTGTTCGTAGGAAAGGGTTCTACTCCCTTAATGCCCAGATACTGAGAGACCAAAACAGCCAAAGATTACGGTATCCAGGGAGCTGCAACAACTCTTTCATCTGGAGCATTCACAGATGAATTAATTTTTTTAACACCCCTGGCCGATAGGGGGTGACTGCTGGGAGACAAGGGCTATCTTATGGACCTCTCTGAGAAAATCCACTGGGAATCCTCAAAACATGCAGAGGAGAGCGACAGTAGTATGCATTCCACCAAAAGGGCCATAGCTGAGCAGGGGATCGGACTTTTTGTCTGCTCCATATCAGATTGCAGTGCTGAGTCCACTCACCGCAATGTGTACCAGAAAACACATTCCGGTATCATTGTCATGTGCTATATTCTCCACAATCTTGACAAAGAGAGGATGTCTTGGGAAAGAAAGAGATGCAGAACTCCCCAGTGAGGAAGATAATGGTTGTGACGTGAGCCAGGAGCTTACTCAGTGACAGGATAAAACTAGAGAATGGCTTGGTCACACCTGTGAAAGCCTTCTAGCAAACTGATTCCAGGCTGATTGAGCTGCTAATACATCTTTGATTCAATGTAATGGCTTTATTTGAAAGCAACTGGCTGAAAGCTGCCGCTTCCTCTTAAGGAATTCATTGAAAACCACTTCATTTTGCACTGTTTCAAATAGTTTGCTTTATTTTCAATGTGCTGATGCTGAGATTACTTAGAACCATCAAACTGTGTGGACAAACCCAGCCGTTTATACTAATTGCAACCGTAACTGCACAAAACTGCATACTCCTATAACCATAGACACTTAGAGGGAAACATGATTATGGGCTTTGCCTCAAGCAAAGAGGACAGATTAGGACACACACACTTTGGAACATGCTTCCCTGTTCTTCAAATCCTGGCTGACATGACGAGTCCTCTACGATTCCTACGGTCTTTCAGAAGTTAGGTTCCTTGCCTGTATTGCGCAATCACTAAGCATCCTCAGTAATGGTGCTTCCATTAAAATGGATAGGACAGATCTAAGCATTTCCCTCCCTTTTCCCCTGCCTCGAAGATAATGAAGTCCTTCACATCTCAGTAGTGTATTGCCTACCTCTTATTTCTGAGAATGCCATGCATAGACATGGACCCCAGGCAGGCGAAATAACTTTGCTTCCTGCATTCTATAGAGCCAGCCCATATTTCTCTATTACTTAGATTTTCTCTGCAGTAATTGTTGTACCATGATCCCATGCCCGGTCTTCTCATTCTGACCCCTTTTTAACAAGGTTACTATCCCTGACGTAAATCCCAGTGACCATCGACTGCAGTCCCTGTACACGAAGTCTGTACCTTGGATCGTAAGAACAACATTTGGCACATACTTTGTTAATAATGTGGTACAGTGAAAGGTGTGCCGCTGGGAGATAAGCATTAGCTTCTTCTAGAAGCAGGTGCTCAACTCCTTGCACCTCAGGTAACAATACCAGCACTTAGAGGGGTGATAGAATTGAATTGAATTAGCTTTATCGTCAGATGTAATCGAATGAGAACAGTGAAAAGTTGATAATTCGCCACTTATAGCACCATCTTGGGTACAAAGGTACCTAGGTACAATCCTTAGTTACAGAATAGAGAAAGAAAGGAAAGAAGTAACATTACAGCTATAAACAGGTCAGAAAACAGGAAGTTAAAAAGACAAACATCACAGTCCGTCTCTGAGGGCTGTCCAGAGCAGACCAGTACAGGGGGCCACCACATGGTCTGACTGCTGGCTCCCGCCATGCTCCACCCTGGGCCACTGAACGTTGGCATCTCCGCTTTGGGCTGCCGAACACCGTCCCTGCTTTGGATGCTGGGAGTCAGAGGCCAGGTGTCTGAGGCGAATGGAAGGGAGGAGACGAGGGACAAAAGAAGAAAAAGAACAGGCGGAGCGGACAAGCTCCAGCTGTAGCGTACTACTTCGCCGCCATCTGACTGGAAGTACCAGTAGGGTGATGAGACTGCAGTAAACATTACAACAAAGTAAATTAATGTGCATTCATAGAAGTATAGTTTACATACATTCAATGAGCATACCTGCACCATCTATGTTCCCTAAAAATACCATTTTCTTTCTTAGCCTACCATTATGCCTGGTTTCTATGCCAACATTCACACCTGAGGTAAAGACAGCAAGATGACTGCTTCACCCTGGTGACAGATGACTTTAGTGGATGTCTTCTTGTGGCTCCAGGCCAAAGGACCCTAGCCTGCTTAGAGTCACCTGTGCAATTGCACCCTTAGCATGACCTACTGTGGGCTATAGGGTCACTGGGAGAGGGGAGGTGGAGAGTTGGAGTCCTCTGGAGTGTCCTAAGATAAAACTTGCAGATTGTGTATTTTCTTTCGATCTCACCTGTGGGAGGCTGTTGGCACCCCTTCCCCAACCCACACCCAGCCTCTTCACTGTGATGAAGTGGCACCTAGAGTGAGGATTGAGGTGCTGTGCCCTCCTCTTGCCTGGCAATTGATGATGCGCACCCGTGACTAATGATTGCAACTTCAAACACATATCCAGTAGCCACTATGTGTTCTGCTGGACCTGGGTTTTTAAGGTGGCTTGCACTTTTCCAAGGAGATAGCCAAGCGTGAGAACAATAGACTGAACTTGGACAGCTTTCTCCATCTTTTGCTTTTGCTTACTGAAGTCTTCTGGCATCATTCACTGCTGTTCCCCTGACTGCTGCTACATATGCAACATATCACATGGATGTGTACCTTATCTGCAGGGTGCTTAGCAGATACCTGGTTCTACAAGTGTCAGATAACTCGGGCAGTGATCCCTCTTCCAGCTGTAGATCTGTGTTGGTAATACGCTCACCAGGTTGTGACTTTGAG